CGTCCTCCTTCCTATAATCGGCATTGATTTTCTGCAATCCCATAAAATACTCGTAGATGTAAGAAATCGGAAACTTGTCCTTGCCGATCATAGCAGTGAAATTAAAGGAATTATATCTAACGAGACGTCCATACATTTATTGATCAAACCTCATTGCGAGAATGACAAGCATGTTAGTTTATTTAGTCAGTTTCCAGACTTATTACGACCGAGTTTCAAACGGGACAAACTGACACATAGCGTCGTACATCATGTTGGGCTCACCAATTTGTAGAGTTTCACCAAGTTTGTTGAAAAAAACGTCTTCTTAATCTAACTCCAATAAATGATATCTCGTTAATTGAGTATTTAAAGCTGGCTAAATCTCCTAGTATAGTTATGGATTTACTCGAGATTATTCAGAAGCCTGAACACCAGTTGTAGAGATATTTTATTGTTAAAGATTAATGAAATCCACAAGCATACAGCAAGCAAGCACCGAGTGGGACAAAGTGTGTGACTGTTAAAAATCCATATATATTTTTGAGTATTAATCAAGTGTGGATAAATTATTGATTATCTATGTGTCTCAAGCAATGGGAGAATAGATTAGGGATTGTAGTGCAAACACGCGCTCAATCATACTCATGGAAATTAACATAGTGGAGTAGACAAATAATACATTATTGGTGTGGGCTTGCTACAATCTCACCTTCTTCATAGGTAATGTAAATTGGCAAAAACCAAACGAGCTTTCTGAATCTGTTCTGAGATGTCGTTGTACACCAACCCATTAGGGCTGACAAGACTTCCAAGATAAGTAAAGTGGTCAACTCCTTTTACAACATTGCTTATCCTTTGTTTAGTTGTTGACGCAGGCCATTTTTGGAGCAACAACTTGCATTTAGAGGGGCAGAAACGCATTTTAAACATCCTGGCATTATTGCTCAGTGTTACCAAAAGACTGCATTTTATCAGCGTCTCCACCAAATTGGATTATGTAATCTATGTATTCTAAGTCGATAAGTGGACCTACTGTTAGGAGATCAATGCCCGAACATTCAGTCGACAAGAACCTTATTTCCAGCAGTAGGTCTATGATAAAGTTGAACAAAAATGGCGATAGTGAACAGCCTTGTCGGACAGCACTTAAGGTTGCAAAATCAGATGACAATTCTCCATAATCTCTGATTCCACTGGTAGTGTTCGAGTAAAGAGTCTTCCCAAAGTTTGTGTACTTCTGAGGTATACCTTTCAATGACACACAACCTCTCAGTCTACAGAGTTAAATGCTGCTTTCAAGTCAAGAAAAAACTATGATTGTCGGATGTCGATAAGCATGCCTGTGTTCTAAGATCTGACGAATGGTGGATATGTGGTCGACGCAGCCAAGAACAAGTCTGAAGCTAGCCTGGTTCTCTCGTATTTGCAGTTCGTGAGTCTTTGTTAGGCGTCCGATAATTATTGAGGCTAGTTCTTTAGATACTATATTGGTCAAACTAATCCCTCTATGGTTATCACAAGACGATTTTGATCCCTTATTATATGTTGAAACGATCAGTGATTGCAACCAGTCAGATGGGAGTAAGTTCAGTTCCCAGATTTTAGCCAAAATAATTAGTCATCCTTATCGCCAAAACTGGACAACCATGCTTAAAACCTCTGGAATTAAACCATTTGGACCAGCTTCTCTTCCTCGCTTCAGACGAAATTCGTCAACTAGAGTTCGTTTCGCAATTCGCAGTTGATATACGATACATAAAAGGCAATGCAAATGAGACAGCAGATGCACTATTGAGATTAAATATCAATACCTTCTCGATCCGTGATATAAACTATCAAGACATGGCAAAACATCAAAAGCTCGATAGGTAGTTACAAAAACTTTTGCAGTCTAAGGAAACGAAGTTATTATTCGAAAACATCTCCATAAACAACAAGGACACCTTAACTTGTGATACTTCAACAGGTAACACTCGCCCCTTTGTACCTTGTGACATGAGAAGAAACAGTTTTGAGAAACTACATAACATATCTCATCCAGGTATAAAAGCCACAGTAAAGCTTATCACAGATAGGTTTGTATGACCAAACATAAACAAAGATGTACGGAAATGGTCACGGGAATGCATCCAATGCCAGAAGTCAAAAGTACATAGACATATCATATCTCCTACAGGAATTTTCCCCGTCGCTAGCGCTAGGTTTGACCACATTCATATCGACATTGTTGGACCGTTACCAATTTCTAATGGTTACACGCATGTACTAACATGTATAGATAGATTTACGAGATGGTCCATAGCTGTTCCGTTAAAAAACACGTCAGCATCAACAGTGGCGAAGAAACTGGTGGAACACTGGATTACAAACTTCGGTGTCCCTACAACAATTACGACCGAACGTGGAGCTCAGTTTGAAAGCAAACTATTTCAGCAACTTACAGATACTTTCGGTATAAAGAGAATTAGAACCACTGCTTATCATCCGACTGCTAATGGAATGATAGAGAGGTTCCACAGACAATTAAAAGCCTCTTTGACGGCCGCAGGAGGAGATTACAAATGGGATGCCAAACTTCATTTGATACTATTAGGCTTTCGCTCATCCATAAAACAAGACATTGGTTGTTATGCTGCCGAGATGGTTTATGGAACAACGTTACGTTCGCCTGGTGAATTTTTTGACCGTGCAACAGATATTCCAGCAGACATAACCAACTATGTACAACAATTAAAACAACAGATGGAATCCATTAGGTCCGTTGAACCACGAACCCAAAAGGTGAAATCATTCGTACCTAATGAACTAGACAAATGCTCACATGTATTCGTCAGAAATGACAGAGTACGATAGCCGTTACAGGCTCCTTACGACAGCCCGTTTAAAATCATACGAAAGGACGGTAAAACAGTTACAGTGGAAAGAGCAGGTAAGTCAGTCAGTCAGTAACAACGTGGAACTTCGTACGTACATACATCAGTTCGAGTTGCCACATCACATTAGCACAGAGATTCAGTTATCGATTCAAATCCCATAGTGGTAGAGGTACTAAAAGTATAAGTAGCGATAGGGAACATTAGGGTTTGAACATGTTATTTAAGGAGTATAGTCCAGTGGAATAGATTTGGAAAGAAAATAAAAAACATGGAGAATACAGAAGATTAGAGTTTGAGAGAACACAGAGAGTGGATGCACCTGCGCCATTGCAAACGATTTTGAGCCATGTCATTCAAGGTCTGGTGGAAAGAGCAAGTAAAGATGACACTGTTAGCATCGACAGAATAAAACCAGCGTTTTTAGAGAACACTGGGAAACAGACAACTGTAAAACTGTCTAAACCTGCAGCAAAGCAAGCATCAAGTAGACTAACTGCAACAAACAAAACTTCACTCAGAAGTACGCCAGCAACAGAAACCGCAATAAGATCAGGAAGAAGAGTACACTGGCCAGATAGGTATGTAGCAAACACCATATTTATCTAGACCAAGTCCTGAGATTACTCTAATAACACAAAAATCCTTCTTTATTTTCATTACTATTTTTTCAATTGGCCCGACGCATCATCATTATGCTTACATTTTAACTTTATCCAATTCGTTCATGTTAAATATACATTCATATATACATGATATAAAAGGTTTTAACACACAAGCTGTTATTACAATTTAACGCTTACTCATCATATCGAGTTGTACATTTATTTTCAAAACAATTCCGTTGTTTATCTCTTTGTCGAACATAGATGTTAATAAAAAATTTTTTTTGTAAATAAAGACATCAATGTTCTGGATGGGAGCTTATGTAGCAAGCCTACTCCACTAATGTATTATTTGTCTACTCCACTATGCTAATTTCCATGAGTATGATTGAGCGCGTATTTGCACTACAATCCCTAATCTATTCTCCCATTGCTTGAGACACATAGATAATCAATAATTTATCCACACTTGATCAATACTCAAAAATATATATGGATTTTTAACACAGTCACACACTTTGTCCCACTCGGTGCTTGCTTGCTGTATGCTTGTGGATTTCATTAATCTTTAACAATAAAATATCTCTACAACTGGTGTTCAGGCTTCTGAATAATCTCGAGTAAATCCATAACTATACTAGGAGATTTAGCCAGCTTTAAATACTCAATTAACGAGATATCATTTATTGGAGTTAGATTAAGAAGACGTTTTTTTTCAACAAACTTGGTGAACCTCTACAAGATATTCGTCTGTCAACTAAGGGATGAGAATACTGCGAAACATGGCCATTGAGTAGAAGATAGACGTAAGTAACTAGTATTTGATCACAGATAGCTTAGAAATATAGCTCGTATCTGCTGGGATCACTGGGTAAGTAATTGTGAGATTAGACGCAGGATATTAGGGAGTGACAGCAAGTCAGTTGATGAGGTTGTGAATCTACGTCGACTGAGATGGTTAGGCTACGTGTTATGTATGCCTAAGCACCGATTAACACGACGTGCAATGCTGACTAGTGTTGGGGACGGTTGGAAGTTAGGGGCGGCCAAACCAAAACGTGGCATCAGTTCTTGAAGTCACCAACTTTTAGTCTTAGCCATGTTGGTAAATACAGACTACCCGGTCGGGGTCCTCGTGACTATCGTAACAAATGGTTGGAGACTGGGTAAGATGGCTTAGAATCGATCACAATGGCGTAGGTGTATAGACTCTGTCTACTTTTAGGCTGGGAGATAAAAATTACTTTATATCTTCTTTTCTATCAACTAATTCTTTCTTCTAATATCATATCCTTATGCACAATCTTTCTTTTATATATTACTACCAGTGAAGTAACTATTGTGAATTCGGTGTTCGTCTTGTTGTGCTAATGAGGTGTGGTAACTTGGATCGATGCATATATGTGCCTGGTTCTACGTTAGAGCTGTCTGACTGACTCCTCTAACTCAGTCATCAAGAACTAGAATTGTCTCAAGCATTTTGTAACTAGTGCACTAATTAAACCGCAAAGATAATTTTTAAAAAATACCGGAAACTTACCACATACAAAGCATGGAAGGCACCAAGCAAAGATGCCAAACAGGAAACGGATGGTTCAAGCCAAGAGTGTCCCAACTTTTTAGCCGTTTTCAATGGACCCAACAGAAGGAGCGGTCTTTTAGATCCGATTTTGATAGCTCTAAAAAAACATACAACTCTTTTAGAATAACGTAGGATTTTGGTGAAGTGCACTCTGACCAATTAATACCTCGTACAAACATGCAAGACGTTCACTGAATTTAGCTAAAGATTATATAACATGAAGCGATTTTGATGAATGGTAGAATAAGGCTATACCGTATTTGCATGTTAACCTCACATCTGTGAAAGAATAGTTCCATCCCACGCTGAAAAATGTGTAGTTTTCGAATGATATTATGTTCAAAATACAAATCACATTAAACTTAGTTAAGCAGACATAGAGAAATAAACTCCTTATGAGCTTGTGGCTGAACTATGAACGCTTGAGAAGTACTACTGATCTTGGCGAAGTATACAGTTCTATGAGGCTCGATTGTTTGACTCCAGAGGTTTTTAAGAATGATGGAACATTTTTAACAGTCAGGCTGACTGAAATACTGTTTGGATGTCTGAAGTTAGGAGAAATCTTACCCGACAGGCCTCAACGGTTGGGTGTCTCAGTTCAGAAATAACTAAAGTTTTCTTATGATAACCAAAACGATAACAGTTTGACTAATGAAATATCTAACCTTAATAATCATTAAATGATCGTCGAACTGACAAATAACAAACTCGGTAAAACCAGAGTGTGTCTAGACCTCGATAAGCGTATATAGGTCAATCATTTATCATTCGTCAGGCTTTAAAATATTGGTACACTTACCGCTTACAGTTGTGATTCATGACCTCAAGGCGAAATTTAAACCCGTTGATAGAGAGGTTTTGTAACAATGCTTATCATCAGACCTGATGGATCGATGGCCGATTTAATCTTAGCACTAATTTAAAAAGCTTGTCTGGTATGTTCCAACTTGTGGTGTAGATGATATATCCGTCTGCCAACGAAGGGACGAGTACACTACGTTGCAGTCGGCTGTGTTGCTTTAAAGACGTCAAATACAAATTATAGAACAAATTGCTGAACCTCAGGTTATTGACCGGTGTAGCTATAGCATTGCTGGAAAGTTTAAACGTACAGTACCAGGCAAAGGTGGCATATAAGTTGATAAGATTCTGAACACTTATCAGTTGAGAAAACCAAGACGTATATTACGTACGCCCAACCAACACCTAACCAACGTGTATTAATGGCTATCAGAAGTAAGGAGAAAGATAGGTGTGCCAAAGCCCAAACGTGGTTGGTGGAGTTATTTACTGTTTGTCATTTTTATATAATTATGAACTTGCCTATCGTACTTTGGCCGTTTATTTTGAACCTTAAGTCTAACTTCTTTGCTTTAATTTACACCTAAACACTAGATGTTTGCTGAGTGATGTGATATCTGCTGGTTCCACTAAACACGTCTTGAAACGAATATGGACCCACGTATATTCTGAGTACACCGACTAACATATGACTTTTGAGTTCATTAGGATTATTGCTGTAAAGTGACCAGACTAAAACTAGATGAAACTACTTATCAATGATTTACATAAGCTTGTCATAAAGATATTGGAGATAGTGAGATCAGACTTCAGCAAATAAGCTGACCAGACATATGACTGAATTAGGTGATCAAAGTTGTCTATCTTCATATAAGTCTTTTCAGATTTTAACCACCTGCCTTTAATACTAACTTAAACCTCACTTTTACTTACTGAGATATACCTTTCGTCGATGCTTCGGTTATCCGACGAGCATCATCAATGTCTTGATCAAGGTGACCAGTAAACGAAACGACCTAGGAGACTTTATAAATGAATATCAACATACTAAACGTTTAGATGGTAAAGAACGACAAGTCAAGGTGTGGACATCTGAACAAAATTTCTGGTTCACCTGAAAAAAAATTATAACCCTGCTTTACACAAACCTGTGATGCTTCCTGTAACGTTTCAGACAGAGGCGTAAACGACGATGCATCTGATACGTCTTCAACTACAAGTACAACAGAATCGAAGTCCTGAGAACATAGATCTGACGTGACGACAGGCCGTATCGACTCGCGATGTGTCATAGCAGCGACGATTGACCTTGAACTGTTTGAACGGACAATCCGAGATATACAGAAAAACCGAGAACTAAAAAATGATTTCGGGTAGACCTATAAAGTTGATTTGTTATGCTTACCTTAACCTAAACATACTGTGAAAAAGCATTACATGGAAAGTGATATTAGAAGCACGGAGGTGACCTTGGGAGAGTATTCAATAATGTTCGTTTAAAAAATACTTTTCTCTCATATATTCGACCTCTCTACACAATACCCTGAACACATAAACTTCCTCATTCGGCTTGTTGCCTCAACGGCATAATTTATTAACCTAGCATAGTTTGTAACAAAAGTTCCGGTTCAAATAGTATTGCCGTTTCAGTCCCAGTTTCAATCCGCGAAGGATAGGAGGCTGGTTTGTGTTGATCATGGCAATTCTAGTCTCTCAGTTTGACCGATTTTTTTCTAAAAGCGTTGACAGACGAAGTAATGAATTCCATTCGTTGGTAACTCAATGGGAAAGTCGATAGTCAGCTGACAAACGATTTGTTAGGGGTTTGTGAACACTTTAAGTATTCTCATAAATTCTCTATTTAGAAAGACAAGTGAATGAAGATAGATTTGGTTTATTCGGTTGGCCACCGTCCGGAAGCTTTGTTATTCCGGTTCGTTGAACCTTTTCTAACAATTCACTGACCACTTTTAGGCAGACGCTAGCCGATTGTATGAAACATTCCGGTTTAGGACAAACAAACACTGTATACGGAGTCCTAAAAGTTTTTGGCAGTGACATAACTAACCAACCTGTGGTATCTTTAGTGGTGATACCGATGAGACCTGGCACACCAAACAGTAAACTGTAAGTCTGCTCATTGTCGGAACATTATCTTATCATTTCTTCAATTTCTATTTTTACATAATGTGATATTCTTTTCATATTTTCGAACTATTTTTTTTCCTTTCCTCCACCAGTGTATTATGTGTTCATCATCACAGAACATATATTAGAGCTATTTGATATCAGGACTATTTCACCTTCTTTTTTCAACTTACGTCATTTTGATCCAACAATATGAAACCTGGTCCTGCTATACAGCGACTGAATTTCAGGAGAACGGCGTAACGGACCGACGTGCACAAGTTTTCGCAGTAGTGGGAGCACTATCATACGATTTTAACAGGTACTTCACGCCTAGTCTGTTTACTAGTAATGTGCGGGAACTTTACGACTGCTTGAAGAAGGATGTTCTAAGACGTACAGACTTGACGACCGACGAAGATTTGACCAACTTTTCCACAAAATCGAGCTGCATCATGGCTTGGCTACAGAAATAATTCTAAGACTGCGACAAATCACAGATCAACGGACCTTTGACAATGGCCTGTTATGATAATTAGAAGTATTTGAATTATAGTATGAACTAATAATCCCAGAAATCACGTGAGTGGACCAAGAACTACTAGATAAGCACGAACGAATGTATTGTATTTAGAATTCGAAATCAGGCATTCAACAAGTACAAAGGAGTTATTAGTTCATTCAAACACCACATCTGTCTAAACAGCTCTTCTTGTCTACGCTTCCCCACCAGATGCAGCCAGTCCTAATCCCATTTTAAAATAACGTTGTAGATTAACTGAATGCATCTGTTCATAGGATTCTGAAGGTCTTCAGAGCCCCTCATTTCCGGTGATTATTCTGTCAGAGAAAAACCTCGGCGAACACAAAATGACGTTATTGGCCTCTGTCATTCACTAGTTATCCTAATATTAATCATATTCGCAAACGTTTTCAAGCTCCTAGAAGAAGTTCGTCATGAAAAAGATCTGTATTCATTCCACGGGAAGCCGATAATCCTGATTGGTGTCGGCATGACAATACTTATTGTAAGTCTTCTAGAAACTACAGAATGCCCTATAGTTTCCCAACCTTTAAACCGAACGACACGGAAAACTATTCGGGAAACTTCACAGCCAGCACGCGTTAACAAAAACCGTAGCCGGTGAACACAACCGTCTGTTGTGCATCACTGGTATGATGACTAAAGTTTACTATCTCGTCGATGCTGGTGCCGAAGTTGGCGTTCTTCCTGCGAAATCATAACGACTGAATCCACAAGCCGATTTTCAACTTGCAAGCGTCAAAAGGGAAACCGATTGCCATATACGGTAGATGATGTTTACATCTTAACATGTGTTTACGCAAATTCATTCACTGGACCTTTGTTGTTGCAGATGTTTCATTTCAAGTTATTGGTACAGACCTGCTACAACACCATAATCTACTCGTCGACAGAAGCGAACGGAGTTTAACAGACGGAACAACCAATATATATCTATTTGTGTAACTTCGTTTACCGATTGTAGATCATCCCCATTCACAGTAAAACACACGATCAATCAATGCTACCAACAGATACTCGATAAGTTCTCCTATCTGTACCAAACGCGAACAAAATAGTCGTATGCAACCAGCAATGTTACACACCACATCACGACTGCAGGACCATCTGTATTCTCGAAAGCACACCGACTAGCTACCGAGGTTGGCCAAAGACTACATGGCAGACCTGATAATTATTCAACCATCGAACAGGCTGTAAGTATTTCACTTGTACACGGTCCTTAGGAAAGACAGCAACGATTGGTGTCCAACTGGTGACTACCGGTGACTGAATGCGGAAACTTGTGATCGTCACCGGTTGTCTCACATGCACAATTTGACAACTACCTTTAAAGGGACAGCCGTTTTTTTTCCGAAAACCGACTTGGTTAAAGCATATAATCAGATTCCCATGGCTGGTGACAACATTCCTTAATCCGCTATCATTACTCCCCTTGGACTCTACGAATTTTTCCGCAAGCAATTCGGTTTAAGTTATCGCGCTCAAACTTCCCAGAAACTAATCGACGACGTTTTTAGACGTCGCAACTTCCTTTATGTGTGTTTTGATGACTGCTTGGTTGCAAGTCTGGACACAGACGCTCATCTCCATCATCTAGACGTTGTCTTCAAACGACCGCAAAAAACACGGCATTACTGCAAGCATCCAAAAATGTCAAATCGATTTTCTCGGACATACTGTTGATACTCAAGGCAATCGATCGTTGAAAAGCAAAGTGGAAACCATTCTTAATTGCTCATAATCGACAACAAACAACGCAGGTTTAACAGCCTAGTAAGTTTCTATAAACGGTTCATTCTGAATCGCTCGTCTTCAATGAGACATTTAACCGACCAACTTCGTAGAAATGCGAAACCCATCAATTTAGACACTGTCATGAACAAAAAATTCTCCACAGTCAAAGAACTTGTCGTCAAAGTTACCATTCTCGCTCACCAGGACACGGAAGCACCCATTAGTATCGCAGTGGACATATGCGACTCGGCAATTGGGGGAGGTTTACAGCAGTGGGTTAACCACACCTGGCAACTTTTGGCGTTCTTCTCAAGACGGTCGCTAGATACCAAATCGAGATATTGCACTTTCGGTAGGGAACCCCTAGGCATGTATTATGCTGTACAGTACTTTTAACACTCTGTTGAAGGCCGAGAATTTCGCCGATTACAAACCTCTTACATTCTGTCTGAGCTCATCCCCAGACAGGTACTCCCCCCGAGAGTCTCGACGACTGGACTACATTACGCAGTTTACCTCTGATACACGACACATTCCTGGGGCAAACAATGTAGTTCCACAGGTTGTGTCTCGTATACCTTTTTTGGAGAGTTTCCAAGGAATTGACCATCCAAAACATGCCCAGCTTCGAAAAGTAGACACTGATCTTCGGCACGAGCTATCTTCCACAGCCCTGAGACTGTCTATAAAAGAAATGAGAACAAGCAAGGAAATTGAGACATATCTAGAGGTATGGATTGTCCAATTGACGCAGCGTCTTCAATATGCTGCACAAACTTTCTTATCCAGATGTTCGTGCGACCATTTATGAATGACACTTCAGTGACGCCAGAGTGACCTTGATAGTGTCTACCAAATCACCTGGAACAAATGAGGGTTATAAATCTGTGTGAGGAATTTAGACTATGATCTACAGTTGATGGTTAAGGTCAAGAA